CCCCCCCCCACCCCCCCCCCAGTGTTTGCGATCGGGGTTGGGTTTTCGTCGCTTGGCAACGACGTTTAAAACAAGCCAATTCACTTCGTGAACTCGGCAACCAGGTTAACGTTTTTTTTCACCTCTGTTTTTTTTTTGCGGTAACCATAATGGTGGTCGAGTAGATCATGTTGTGCGGGGTCGAGAACCGTCACTCCGCGCAAGGGGGATGATCGCACCATGTTGTGTTAAAAGGGTCAAGCATCCTCGAGGCAGTTACACAGTGCGTGTAACTGTCTCTGGGAGTGAAAGTACCAGAAAATAGGATAAGTCATACGCAGCTGTCATCCGTACGCAAGGAAGTGAGCACAAGATGCCGAACACCCTAAGCAGGATGCAGCGCACCCTTCATGCGACTCGTCGAATGACTCACGGCGCTTCGCGCTTGGTGATGTGAGAGCCTGGTCCGGTGAGAACCCGGCGTGCTCCGTCCCGGCTTTGTAGGGATGCGAGGTCAATTACGGCATGCACGACAATGAGTACACCCCCCCCCCACCTAGACTCCTGGCGCAGAATGGGACACATGTCTAGAGGCCGATTAATATGTATCGCCCCGCGCATGGAATAGTTGTCCGCGCTGTGTCATGGCCCAAGACCGTGGGACAAGGGAAATACGAACCAAAAGAAACGGCTGGGAAAAGTGAGACCGGGGAACAACAAAGACAAGAAGTGGAAGTCTTGCATCAGGGGGTCCTGCGTGCAGCTGGGGTTAGGGTTGGGCTAGCGCTGTGCATGGCAGCACACCACATCATGGGAGAAGGCAGCACAGAAGAAAACTACATGAAGGACCGCGAAAGGCAAAAGTGGAGGAAACGACGGTCGAACTCCAGAAGGCCAGGACCAAGGATCGCCCCGGTACAGGGTGCTCAGGAAAAGAAAAAACGACGGCGAGGTCACAAGCAGACGTGTAATCAAACTCTGGTTCTTGTAGAGAAAGAGCAGGAGGCACCAAAACGCTGAAACGCGTCGCAAAAACGACAACACTACACACAGGAAACAAACGAAACGCCAGCACACAAGGACGCGACCAATGAAAATTTTCCCTGCTCAAACGTCCGAAACCTCGGTGTGCAATACAACGCCGAACAGAAACAGCACAGCACTTTCCAAGCAACACCCGATTGCGCCAATCCCCTCACGTTGCCGTGCCCCCCTGGTCTTCAACCGTCTTGCAGGCCCCCCCCCCCCCCCCCCACATTTTTTCTCCCCGCTGCGGCCCCGGGCTCCATGCGCTCCAACGACATCGAACAGCGGTCATGAGCGTTTTCTCAGCACACCTTCCGAAGCTCCTGTATTTTTTGCAGGTCAACATTCATCCCATGGCGAACGGCGAGGGAAGGAATTTGAGGAGGGTCAGGGATCGGGGACACTGCTGAACGCACAACGTCTCTCGGGAGGCGCGCGCGCCGGGGGGGGGGTTGTGTTATACATTGGGGGGTGAGAGCAAGGTACGGGAGACAACAGACAGAATGCAAACATGGGAGAAAAACCACGAACGAAGGGGTTTGTGCTGCGCTCCCCAGAACTTCCTCCATCGTTGTTTTCACGAAGTACAGCAGCGATGTGCCACGCATCAGACGTGTGGACGGGCTGCGATGGCACGCGATGGCACGCAATGTATTCAATTGTAGCATCCTGGTGCTTGTTTTGGTACATCATGTTGACTGCTGCTCAGTACAGTTCTTCAAGCACGACGTGCAGCAGAGCAAAAAAAAGGCATCGAGAACAGCACCAACAAGGGAGCACACAGGCGCGGCAGCACAGTAAACGAACCAAAAATAAGAGTGCCGCCGTTGAGCGGAGTGAAATTTTTGCGTGGTTTGCGTGTCCCGGTGGCAAGGCGAGGCGATGCATACAAAAATCCGCATGTTTTTTGTTTTCTAACCCACCGGGTGGAAAGAGTCAAGTACTGCTGTGTGGCATGACAACGAGAGCACAGGGAAAAAACAGCAACAGAGCACACAGCGCAATATTGGCACACGACAAAAAACATTCGGTCGTTGAGTGCAAGTGAATTTTGTAGTTGTTTTTGTGTGTCAGAGGGCAGGCGAGGTGGGGTAGACAAAAAATAGCATGTTTTTTCAGCCGTTGCCTCGCTTTGGCTGGTGCTGGCTGGTGGAGGCAACCAAAAGGAGGCAAAAAAGACTTGGGCGCTCAGAGAGTTCAGAGGCACCCCAGGTGCTTCGACCGTTTCGGATCCACAGCAGATGGTCGATTCTGGTGCTGTGAGGGACCAAATCGTGCTCGATGCACAAGGAACCGCGGGACCTATCCTATTGCACACGGCTCCTACTAGTGTTAGGAGGCCGATAGCGCCGCAGATGGGGCCTCTCGTCTTACCTAGGGCCAGCGGCGGCAGCCGACGCGAAGTGCAAGTGGGTCCCCAAGAACCCAGCCCTCCAGCGAAACAGGTCACCGTCGGAGAAAGTCGAGTCCTCCACCCACAGAGCACGCCAGGCCTCGCTGCCGGCTTCCACGAGCTCCAGGGACGCAGGGGCAACGCGCAAGACTCTCCGCACCGCACTTGAAGCAGCACAGCGTGAGGTCTCAAGGGCTGTTGCTGGTGTCAGTGAGAAAGGCGCCCGAGGCGACGCGTTTCGCCTAGACCCCAGTACAAACAGGTCAGGTGCACCCAGCACCACTTACGCCACAGAACTCGAGACGCGACGCCACACACCTTCCTGAGACCGCACGCGTGTTGGGAAGCGAGGGACGCCGGTTTTTCGAGCCAGCGTGCTCGGGGCAAGGCGCTGAAAATTTTGGCGGCGACCTCACCCGCCGCTGCTGGAGCACACTTTTCTGGTGTTTGGAGAGAGCAAGACTTACCCACACAACCCACTGCCGTGCTTCCGCTGCAGCACACGAATCCACAAGCGCACAGCTGCCACAGCTCCCCAATTGTGTGCCCGGGTGGTATTGGGCGTAATTTTCCTTACGACGCCAGCGGCTCGGGATAACGTCAACATGACGCAGCTTGCCGATTATGGAATCCTCTCGGAATTTTTCTGCGGAGTAATTTTTATTGTACTTAAAAAAAAAGGGTAATTATTTGTGTTGCAAGATGAGCACCCCTGTAGACACACTTAACACATAAATAGTGTAGGGGGGCGTCTGCATGACATATAACCATGTACCCAAGTAATGCAGAGAATGGCTGGCTCTGAAAACACCTTCATCTCATAATGCATCATTGGTGGTGTCGTGTGTTCGAAGTATGGTCGTGACGCTACCACCCTCAGTTGGTGATGAAACCGAGTACCACTCAGTTATTATCCCAGGAACGACAGATGATGAAGGAAACCAATCAATCTTGTACCATTTCACACCCAAGCCCCACAGGCAAGCAGGTCACACACGCGTCTACTACCTACAACTACCTGCGTGTGCTCTGCCGGGGGGCCCATCACATAATAAATAGACGCATATTCCCCACAGAGGACGCACAGATAGATCGGACTCATATATATCCAAGCACCCACAAACAAAGAATGAATGTGTTTCCTCCACCGACCGATCGATGTGGTCGAGCTTCGCTTCCCGCAAACAAATTAATTCCCTCACTACAGTAGTAGCACCGAAATTAAGACACCGCACACCACCGCAATAGTAGTCCACGTTTGGCAATAAATATTCATCGATGCCTCTCGAGGACAAAAAACTGCCATCATGGGGAGTCCAGCGCGGGGGGGCAGAACAGGGTAGGGTCCGGTTCGTGTCTTGTGGATCCCGATGTATCGCCGATTTTCCGCAACACGACTACCATCCACAGCGCGTCTAACACCAACAACAAACCTCATCATATTAAAGAACATTTTTTTTTTGTAGCAAAAAACACTCACTCATCATCATCTTCTCAACAAATACTAATAACAACAGACAATAATTACACAACAACGAAACAACACAGCACGCGTGATCCAAAGCCAAAAGTGTCTGGTTGCCGCAGTAACGTCCCACTAGATCTTTGTTGCACTTGAGGCCTCAGGGCCACAAGAAAGCAGCCAAGCACAACATGATACTTCTACTCCGGATCCTCCACACTTCCTACAAATAATGAATAGGATCGCCGAAACAAGCAACCTGAAGCCCGTTTCTTCATTTAACAACCATGTCATTCGGAAGGTTAAGTCAACAATACGTGCTTTACAGAACCGGGGGGAACCAAAACTACCCAACTGCGACCGACACCTAACCTAGGCACGCCCGGTGGCACTCGAACTGCTGTCGTAAAATTTGAAGACCTGCTTGCTTCATTCTTGACGTCCTTTCCACCCCAGCAATTGAGCCCTTCCAGCTGAGTCGTTTCAACCCACTCGTCTTGTTTGCCCTTCCTTCTCCAAATTGATCAAGTGCGAACATGAAATACGCGATGTACAAGTAAGCGGCGCGTTCTTCACTGTCCAAGGAAACGGGTACCCACCAAACCTGCTGCGAACCAAGGGGCTTCTGGCAACGCTACGGCAACATGGCCCAGCGCAAAGGGCACAGTTGGGCCAGAGCCACGTGCCAGTAAATAGAGCACTGCATGCAATCTGGAGAGGAATTGCAAGGACTATATTATAGCGGCATCTGTAGCCTCGACCTGCAAGACACGGCTTCGGCAATAGGTACCCACACCGACGCTGCCAAACCCGCCGACAACCGCACCAAACAACTGACATTGATAATGCTAGAACATTGCGGGCTTCTCAGTGCACCAAGGTGCTCATGTTGAGGACAAAGCTGCCGACGGCAAAAGCCATCGAAGGAACAAAGTGATACCAAGTCATTGTCATCATTCGCCAAGCACAGCCCCCAATGATGAGCACCGTGGAGAGGGTGCTCCACGCGACCATGAGTCGCACCGAAGACTTGTACCGGGAGGAAGATGAACTGCGACGAATCAAGTGCACGATCAAGGACAGACCAACGAACAATAAGGACATTGATCGTGGATCGATCAGGGATAGATTACAGTACAGGTTCAAGAATACAACCTAAACAATAGAACAACATCTAAACCACTCGCAGAAAGTGATCACAAGCATTGTTTTACTTTGACCATTCGCATAATTCATTCAGGAACGTCTCGTGGGGATTGGCGCTTGCAAACCATTACATGCATGTACCGTCCAACATCGCACCACCCCCCTCCCCGTGTACTACGGTTTACCGATGTCGAAGTCACACATCGACGCACGTGATCGAGTGTGTAGTTTGGAACCCCGCTTGCGTACACGTCTGGCACACACGCATTCACCCTACAGGTACCTCTGCCCGAAACCTTCAAGATGAAAGAACAACATATCATGCATTTCTCCACGCGGTCGAGCGTGCATGGGTTGCGTCCGTTAACATAACTCGAACTTCACAAATACCGGACACATAACACGATTGGATAACGTGAAGTGCGCATCTTGAGCCTAGGAACTCGAGCTAGGATTGTCATGTTTCGTCAAGATGCAAGCGATCTTTCATCGATAATGTTGACCAGTAATTTTTTATATTCTGTCCAAATCCATTCAGGACAAAAAAACTACCTTTTTCGTCGTTGGGCAACAAACAACAACCAACATATCATCAGTCAACTTTGCACAGATCAAACACCTTGATACTCCGGAAGGGACCCAGGGTGCCGACACACCAAGAAGAGAATCCTTCATGGCGAACAGGTGAGCGTAGCTGGTAGATGGAGGTGTGGGAGATTCATTCGGGGATGGGGGGGGGGTTGGTGTTGCACGAAGAGGTACCCATCGTCTTGGGCATCGGGTCCTGCCCGTGCCCTCAAAGACGGACGGGATCATTCCCGGGGAGGGGGAAAGGGTTGGGGCGAACTTGTTTGGTGGTTCACCACGAGCCGCAAGACGACACGAAGCACTCTCACGTTAGTTTAGGAGTGTGTTCTAGAGTGGAAACGCGATGTTGAACAATCGCGTCACGCAACTAAGAGATAGCGTACCCCCAAGTAGCGGCCGGAAGAAAGAGTAGGCTGGACTGTAGGAGAACGATAATAACGAATGTGGGTGGGCAAGCCGGAAATGAAGCATTGACGGCCACAAAGTATCTGGAGCATCGTGATCAACGCAGTACGTCACCAAAAGGGGGGGGGGGCGACGATTGAGAGCAAATTGAGGTGGGAGTGAATCAGGTCGGCTTGCGTGTCTTCCTAGGTTCTGTGTATATGTAATGAAAGCGCAAACTTGATTCGTTCCCGATCCATCACCGGGAGCATCGGATCATGAGCTGCGTGGAAATAAACACCAAATGATAGCGATGTTGTTGTTGGGAAGTCCATATTCGAAGCATTTCTGGCTCCGATAGAGGGCTCGATACATCACGTTCTCCCTGTGTCTGAGTGGCAATGGCTGTTCCTCGTGCGAGCCGAATATCGCCACACCAGGTGATTTCGAAGAAGAGATGTACTGTAGTCCGGTGGTGAGGTGAGGAAAACGCTCAATGGCCGTTGTCCAGGGGATCTTCGTCCGGCCGGCCGGGTTCGAGTGGTTTCATTGCAGACAATAAGCCATTGATATCGAAGCGATCAGAAATGCGCCAGAGAAGACGGCGAAGCAATCATCATCGTCAGGTGGAGGACCACATAGAGTGCTGGCGACGTGTTGACTAGCGAACCGCGCGAAAGGACGCCGTCTAGCGAAATCAGGTAATACCATCTACCGTGGGAGACAACAGAATCACGTACTATTGGATGATCTTGATACGGTGGGAGGGCATCCCGTAGTGCTGCTTGGACCAAAGGGGGAGAACGATCCCGGCGAAGAGTAGTGACGGCAGCATGAACCCGGAGTGGTACCACAGCACCCCGTCAGCCTCCACCCACACCAGGAGCATGATCGGCAGCGGGGCCACGAAGAGAAGCTGGCATTTGGAAGACGACAGCACGCGAGGATGGGTGCGCGGGACGGGGACAACGGAAAGGCAACAGGTGGCACGGGCAAGCAAAAGGAGGTTGGCGGGGAGATGCTGGCGTATCCTGAGAGTGGACGATGGTGGACGATACATCAGAACGCAGAACGACAAACTTGCGTATGCATACAACGATACCAACAGATGAATAGGTTGATCGGAAGGGTTGTCACCTAGTACTGCCAGCTGTTGGCTTTGACGACACGGGCGCAGCTGTTAAGAGCAGGTTGTAGAACGCTTCACACGCCTTGTGGGCACGATCTCGCTACTCGGAGGGGAAACGGCAACCGAGGAAGAAATTTGTAAAATGGAATCAGCCTCAATCAAGTTGCGGAAGGCAGGCAAGTTGCACGGTCAACCGTTGCCGTACGTTTGGCCCATACCGCCGATTTTTGTGGTAGGGACGCCATGTCTTACAAGAGCAGTACCCATGTTGTGCAGCAGGCCGTTCAGGAAGCACAGCTTGTGGCGTTTGGAGATGTTGGACGTCCAGAACTCCTTCTCCCTGACGAGCGTCGCGCTTCCCTTGCACCAGCGGTACTGTTGCATGAAGAAGCTCTGCGGCTCATCGGGGCAGGTCCCCATCGCAAGAGCTAGCGGCACATACTTTATCTGAAGACGAGAGTAAAGACATTCGAAGGTTAGAGGGGGGCGATGCCGTCAACACGTGGTATGACGAAGGGATTATTGGCGCCACGGCGGACAGGATCTATTGCATGCAGGTGCGCAATCCTTCGTAACCGCCGAACACGCGGGAAGAGGCGAAAGGGGCACACACACTCACCCGCTTTGATATCTCCATCATCGAAACCCTGACCTTAGCGCCATGGGGTCATCTCAAACAACAATCCCGATTGATGAGCACGCACACCGCCTGGCCGCGGACTAAACAGCCACATCATGCTCGAACGGTCCCACACACCTTGAACCCGTTCTCCGTCATCTTGTACCCGGTTTACATGTCCTCGGAGTGCTCGATGGCTGCCATGCCCCCCAAAGGCTCCAAGGCCGCCCTGCGGTACAGTCCGCAGGACCCCACGCACACGGCCGCGTTGAACCTGTCCTGGTTCATCTATATAGCAGTCGCGGAGAAGAAACAGCATTACCAATGGAGGAGGTGCATGAGGTGCGTCGCGTTTTGGTTGAGAGGTTCGGTCAGGGTGTTGCGGGTACGACAAACAAAACCACGAGACCGTGTAAGGCAGTACGTGGGCCCCACGATACACACCCTCGAGGCCGTCTGGCTGCTCTTCTAGCTCGGAGTTGGCTAAGGGAGAAGAAACGAACGGGAAAAGGCACCCCGCCTCCACGTCCGTACCCTAACGTACTTTGACGAATGGAGCCCCGAGGTGGCAGAATAGGATCCTTAGTAAGACGTGTCACCCCCGGTCCATTTGGCGTCGAGACTTTCCATGCCCGGGGTGGCACGACAGCCGTGGTCCGTACAGAGAACCTTCAATCCGAAGGACTTCTCTCAATATCTCGGACCCGTCGGTATTACTCGACCACTGTAGTTAGCCCTTCTATCCCCGTAGTTCGCGCTTTTTTACCTTACACAAAAGTTCTTGCATGCCTCACACCCCCAAGAAGTCGGATCCAGGGGCGCCCACGCGTGGGGGGTTGCGCTGATTTACGGAGTGATGCGGTCGCGCACCTTCTTGTAGGCGCTAAACCTCAATCTGCGCACATGGATGTGCACGTGTATATAGTCCAACGATACTCCGCCCGAAACCGAAGAATCAGATGTACCCACCTGCACCATGCGGTAGAAGAATTCTTGCGTGACACCAGCCCCTTGCTCCACCCACGTCTGCTCCTTGCGGTGTCGGAAGAATTGTGGCGTCTGTACGATGCCTATGGTGGGATCCTCGCCCAGATAGGGCACGGTCTCCTTCAAGAAGTCCGCCCTGATGACGAAGCACAGTGGGGTCGTTCGCACTTCAAACACACAAGTACGTTGGGGGGGACGTACACTCACGAACGAAAGGTCTGGGACGTCATCTCCAGTTCGTGGTCTCGGAGCTTTTACGACAGGGGGTCCTACAATGAAATCCACACAATGTGCTCGGTGTCTGGAGTCGTGCGTTCTGTATGAGGAAGATTCGCGATTAATATCGGTGCAAGAAGTGCTCCTGTTCATGGCCGAAGCACCGTCCAAATAATATTCGCACGTCACCAAGGGTCTACGGTGGACAGTAGCCACTAACCTTTGGATCACCAGAAATCGCAAGGTTTCGGCACACGGCGGTTGGAGAAGGACCTCACTAACCTGGGACAAAAGTCGGCGTCGAATATCGCGATCGCTTCCCCCGAGGTCCGCGCAAAAGCATTGCGCAGGTTCCCCGCCTTCTTCAGCGCCGGCACATCCGCCCTCAAAACATCTTCCACGACAAGCACGCGGGGCGGGGAGTGGAAGCGGGACGAGTTGGACTCGGCAATGGTAGCAGCAGCGGAGGCGGCAATGGAGGCGGGGCGGCAGCTCAGGGAGTGCAGACGGTACCCTAGGCGAAACAGATTTGATACAATATCGGGAACTGAAAAGAGGAGGGGGCTCCGGCCCGCGTAACACCAAGGTAAACCCATGCCACGCTGTGGAGTCGAAGAGATGCTGGCGTTTCCCCATGCCATACCGTTCGCCTCCTTTGTGACTTTTCAGCACTTTAGCGCGTCTTTGTCTACGCCTCTGTCTTGACCGACCAAGGTCTGACGCGTGGGGTACCATGGCCCCGCGAACGACGCCGTCACACCCGGGATTGTTCGGCTCGTTCAGTCATTTCGTCGTTACAATACCTCATGAAAGTTCTTGCTATTTAGTCAACAGTTTCCTCGCACCGGTTTGATCAGCGCTACAGAAGAGGTACAGTAAATCCGCATAAGGGGAGACGGTCCCAGATTTCTTCAAGACGACGACGACACACGGAAAAAGTAGCAACAGAAACTCTAAAATGGGCCGAGGGCAATATTGGTCAAAATCCCAAGACCCCGCTATCACCACCACGACTCAAGGCTCACATTCGAACCCAAACGTTGATGCGAGGGCTTGGGCCCCCTCGCTGGCGCCGTCATCCAACACGAACACCTTGAAGTCGGGGTAGTCCAGCGCGGCCACGTACTTCCACGTGTTGGCGAGCAGGCGCAGCGGCTCCTTGCACATGGGCAGGAACACGTCCACCGAGGGCCGGTAGCCCTTCTCCTCCGACGCCTTCAGCACTTCTGCGTGGACCTCGGGCTTGAAATCCTTGCCCCAGATGGCCACCCCAAGGTCTGAGGCGTTCAGAGAAAACGACAGTTCGGAGGAAGGGTGCTACCCCAGGTGTGCGGTCATTGTCTCGATGGTCATGTTGGAACACCACACAAGTCACATAACAGGTTCCGCTACCCGGAGAGGCGAAATCACGTTGACTGTCCACCAACAAGACGACGCGCGCACACCAAATCACGAGTTTCGTTGGCGCGACACTGACTGCGGAGAGCGTTTAATGACGAGGCGGAAGCTACTTCCATAGGGAAGTTTTAACGGGCACCCACAAAGACGACTGTCGTCGTCGTTTGGCGCGGACATCTGATGGGATTAGGTCATCAGAAATCCTTGGGTCCTAGACAACCAAGGCAAACAATTGTTTGAGGGACGTCGGATGGGAAGAGGGGATCAGAAACCCGATGGGTCCTGAACAAACAAGACTAGCATTTGGATAATTCCGTTGGAAAAATAACCATCGAGACAAACAACCTCAATACACCAAGACAAGCAAGTCCACGACACGACAAAGGGAGACAGGCGGGCAGGCGGGCACGCGGACAGGCGGAGGTGGCGAGGCCCTCGCCAGCTACACGCAGAGCGACTAGACCTCGAAGTCCTCGGGACGCTACATCTATTCGCGCCGTATCTCTCGGTCTCCCACAACATGCTTTCGATGGCGCTCCTCCTCACAGTGGCAGCCCGTGTAGACGATGAACAATATCGCCGGTGCACCGAACCAGTAGAAGGCCGGGGTAACGATTGTGAAGAGCCACATGCCCCACGTCAACGAGACGAACGAGATCATGGCGCAGGTGACGAGCCCGAACCGTCCGGTGTTGTGGTAGATCACCTGGGTGTGTTTGTGCGCCAGAGAGGCCCAAAAAAAAGGTGCTTCATGCGACAGTAAACCACCACACCGCAACACTGCTGCCTTAGGGACTATGACAAGGTGGTCGTGGTGACCGGCCCAGCCACCGCAGCTCCGCTCCGCAAGGCGAAGCGGGTACGAACACCGGCCGTACCCAGCTAAACCAAGCGCGGTACGAAGCACCAAAATGGGAACTTTCTGTTTCCATCCCCGTCCCGCTTACGAAGAACACTGTTCGCGCATCCCTCGACACCCGTTCGAGAAATGAACATGTACACACACGAGTTTGCTTTTCCGTTTCTGTCTTTAATTTCTGGAGAGTAGTTTCACCTGCCCCCTCACGGGGTCCCAGACCATGGCCAGTTGTGTTTCCAGCCGCGCTGAGACGGACGTCTATCCATTGGTTAGCGATCTAGCGCGGCCGATGCAAAAAAAAAAACACACACACACACACAAGCGCCTTGCACCAGTGTCCTCACTATAACAGTATGGCACGCACAAAGTGTCTCGCCTTTTCCTCGTCGGAGGGCGGACAGGGTAGCACCAAAGACTGGCCATCCGCGCCCGCTACCACCTGCTCTGCACCCGTGTCGGCCGCCCTCGCGACCACCGCGGTCGCTGCCGGTGGACTCGTGGCCCACACAAAGCCCTCCTCCACGTCCACCTCGGCCTCTAGCCTAGCCCTGGCGGCCGCCGACACCATGGGGGAAACCGTGGCGGAGGACGCCTCCGGCGACTGGCGGAAGGGGGGCGGGTGCGGCGGGGGCATTAACGGGGACTGTTCCAGAATGCCTCTCCTCCACAGGGCTCCTGCAAAGCCTCCTCTGTCCATGTCGGGGTCGAGTTCCTCCGCCGCAGGGAAGCCGCCGTCGTTGTCGGCGCCGCCGCCGTTCTTGCCGTTACCGCTGACGATCCCCGAGCGAAAAGGTGCGAGTCCCGGGAGCCTCCTGGCCGGGCGGCTGCCCATGGCCTCGAAGTACTCCCGTGTCGACGACTCTTTTTCGGAAGCAATCTCGTCGTCCGACGACAGGGAGACGTCGGACACCGCTGCCGCCTTGCCCCGGCCGCCGAACAGGCCGGAACCGCTGGCGTAGCCCCCGTTCGTCGCGTTCCGGATCTTCTCGAATAAGTCCGAGACCTCGAGGTTGGTCGTCGCCGACCTGTTGCTGCCGAAGGCTTTGGAGGAGCTGCTCTTACCGCGGACATCCCACAATGACGGGGTGGCCGACGACAGAGTTCGGACGGGACTGTTCGATTCGCCGTCTTTCGCCGTAGTCGCCTCCTTCCGACCACCCTCGTCCTCGTCGTCGAGGTGTAGGGAGATCTCGGACCACGAGATGGAAAGATGCCGCGGTGGCATCAGGATGGCGTCGACGGGGGTAGCATCAGCAGCAGCAGTCTCTGAGTCCGATACCACCGCCCCGGCGTCAGCGGTACCACCACCACCATCAGCAACGCCCGCCGGGCTAGACAGCAAGCCATCCACTTCTTCTTCCCCGACGCGACCATCCCGGTCGGTCGCCGTCGCTGTCGGTCGCGGTAGCAGCTCCTGCAACAACTGCCGGCGCAGCGGCGTTTCGGCGTCAACGGCTACAAGCGTCTTCGCGCCTCTTAGGGCCGGGCTGTCCGGCTGGGTGACTGAGGACGTCGATCGAGGAAGGCCAAGAGGAACTGCCTGCTGAATGCGGGGGAAGGAAGCGGGCGACGCCATGAGTACGGAGGGTACAGTTCAACGTGTGTGTATGAACGTGTGTGGAATATATATAATTTTTGTTCAGAAACAGAAGACAAGTCTACATTTACATCTATCTATGATCCAGTGTGACTTACATCAATGTGAGCGTGTGCATTCATTTCATTCATCTTGGAATACGTACGCATACGTTGACGGAGGAGGAAAGAGACCGGATGGTACATCCCTCTACTGTGCACAAACCCTCTTCATACTTTGGCATTCTTTATACCTTCTTTCTGCAGCGGTGGCCTCTGTTCTAGGCCACCCTCTCCGACTACGTGCCATCCCGTTTTTTCCCAGTTCGACGTCAACGGGACTACAAAAGGTAAGATGGGAAAAGTACTCTATTCAACATTCAGACGACCAATCGTAAACAAAAACACCCCACCATCTGGTTGTGAATGTATTTACCACGCGTTGATTGGGGCGGGTTATTATTCAATGATGGTACATGACATGTTGATGGGTCGTTGAAGAAGTGCCCTTCAGTAAGGCATAGCTTTCCACGGAAAGTTTTGGAAAATCCGAGAAACTTGGCGCCATTTCCATTCCTCCAAAGTAACCGGCGTCTAGTCTGCGTGGCCGAGACAGACATAGGTAATCGCTTAATTGGCCTCTTGTCTCCTTTCTGCAGGTGTCAAAATATTTAGCAGAGAACGATTTCGCTCCTTTTCTCTTTTTTGTGTGTTTCGATAAGCACATGGATGGATGAATCACACCCCGTTTTCTGCGGCAGATCCGCCGGGATTAAACGAAAATTCGCGTTCTTTTCGATTTTGGTGAAAATGCATGTACGGTGAGGTAGTGCCCAGAAACAGGGTTTGTTTCCGGCAAGGAAATTCACTGGACCATTATCCCTATGAAAAATTTTGGACGTCGCTGGATCACTATGTTGTAGAAAAGATGTTGAACTGCACCAACCGAATGTTGTAGCTGTTTAGGTTACGGTCACAACCCAATTTTCCGTTTGAAATACTACCATTTCTTCGAGGAGTAGATACCTTTCGCGCGAACCAGGTTCTGGGTAACCACTGGTCTACATACGGCGCATATAACTAGGATGTTGGTACCAAGTAATATCATAGTTGTTATAGGATGCACCGTATGTAGGCCAGTGGTTATTATCCAAAACCTGGGGAGCGCGAAAGCTATCTTCTAATCGAAGAATTGGCAATATTTCAAACGGAAAATTAAGTTGTGACTGTAAAACAACAAGCGGCCACAACATTCTGTTCGCGCCTTTTTACCATCCCCCCTATTATACAACATACATAGTGAACCAGCGACGTCCAAAATTTTTCACAGGGTTAATGGTCCAGTGAATTTCCTTACCGGAAGCCCTGTTTCTGGGCACTATCTCAGCGTACATCCATTTTCATCAAAACCGAAAAGAACGCGAATTTCCGTGTAATCCGGGCGGATCTGCCGCAGAAAACAGGATGTGATTCATCCACGTGCTTCTCGAAATCCACCCAAAGAGAAAAGGGGCGAAAAATTCCCTGTACTGTATTTTCCACCCCTCCCTGTAGCAGTGGTAATTCTCCTCGTATGCCTACTGTTTCGTAGCAGGTTGGTGTTCGATCCTCTCTCTGGATTTTTTTTGAAGTGAGGATGATCGACGTGCGTGCAATGATCGGTCGGGGTTGTTTTTCTTTTGTTTAGCCTAAGACTACATCTTCTTCATTCAGTAGGTGTCTCTTTTTTAAGTTTTCGGGGACCGGACGCAATATATATTATATGCAGCCCAGTTGTACACGCAGAAACCACTTCCATCTTCTTGGACCCCTGCCACGATAAACAAGACCGGCGGGCATGCACGACGGGCATCAACCCACCTTTACTGAAAGCCTTGTCACCCGCATGGCAAAATCGCTAAGGGCCGGCGCAAAAAACACATAGAACACGAACTATTGTAAAGAGGAGACAGTAGTCTCTTGTCGGTACAATTGTAGTCTACACAGTCAGTCTCCGTCTTCTACATAAATAAACTACATGAAATATCTGGGAGTTTTTCTGTTCGAATAACGAAAGACGAGTGGATGCCATCGGTGGGGAATTTTGGCAGCATCGCCTGCTGTTTCACGAAAAAATGCAAATACCTTGAACGGAATATCCGAGGTGTCCTCTCCGCGGCCGGCCACTGCCTCCTCCTGCCCGGCTGCCTCCTCCTGCCCGGTCTTAGTGCCATCACTAGCGGCGCTAGCAGTGCTGCTGATGCTGCTCGCGGTATCCTTCTGTGACTTTTTTATACCTTTTGTGATCTGCCCAAGGTAATCCCCAGCGTGAAGGGCAGGCACATTAACCGACGATGGCTCAATCGCCGCGTCGCCCATTGCCGGGCGTATCCTCCTCCGCCCCCCCCGCCCCCCTCCCCTCTACGGCACAACGATGTACGGATGATAATCTATTGCTGTATCCGTTCCTGGGGCTGGTGGTTGGTGGTCTGCCACTCCAGGGCTCCCCGGCGCTGATGATGTCAATACGCAATGCAACCAGCTGCAGATGTGTTCTCGTAAGGAACAATTCCACTAATACTATTGCTCCTCTCCTGCAAACAGGCGTACGGCATGCGACCAAAGCAAAACATAGAAGCGAGCCGCAGGCAGCAGTCACGCGGCAGGCGAAACACGGCGAGCCGAAAGGGCTATTCATCCAAGGACGAGTCGTCGGAGATATTTTCCCGGAATACACCAGACCATTGCATCATTGCATTCACCCAAAAAAATCTATCACGCGAAAAACTCGATAAATTTTGTGCGCCGAAAAGCCGCGCTCGGTGTTGTTACGCGTCCAGCAGGCGAGGGCCGCAGCTACAGAGCCGCAGCTACCAAGCAAGTCTGCACCTGTCCCCTACCACCGAAGATGCCTGAAACCATAAGCAGGGTAACCTCCTACGGCACTCTGGGACCAGGATTCGTGCGTGCACAGCACAGCGTGCATTCTCTTGTGCTGTGGGCCTACAGATGCCATGGCGACCATCTGGGAGAATCATATGGATCGATTGACTTGACTTGGTCAGCGCCTGGTGCCCTGGTGCGTGTACACACCGGCACGCCCCACTCACCCGCGTTGACTTGGTGTACCAGGCTTCGTCGATGACGACCACTTCGAGCCGAACGCCAAGACCCAAAGCGACAAGACTATATGTGGGCGAGGTGCAACGAACGTGAAGAATAGGTGTGTGAATGAATCTTGGGCGTGGCATCACCGTGGTTGTTCATGTTGACCGGAGACCGAGAATACGGATCTTCATGTGAAAATGTAGAAGAATAGTCACAACAGTCTACAGTAGCACGTGTGCGTACATGCATCAGAGCCGCAACACCTGCCACTTACCTAAAGGCGCTGTGTGTGATGACATCTCACCATCAAAGACAGCTCTCGAGTGCAAGATGAGGAGGGCGACCAGTGGGTGCTGTGCATCTATTTGCCATTTGTTCGAGGGCGAATGGAGACCTTTTGCGAAACACACGGGATCAACGTGCGTAGAAACATCATTCATCCTCACTGTTGATGGATTCTCAAAAAGCTGTCTGTCCATGTAAGCATCCCGAGCATTGATCCACGATTGTTTACCATTTTTTCCAGGGCGAAATGAGACCTTTTCAAAACACATGGAATCCGTAGAAACAACTGATCCGCACCCTGGATGCATGCATTCCCTGAAAGCTGTTGTGAGTATTGAGTGCGTTCATGGGCTTTGATCCACGATAGATGGATACTATCTGAAGCGATACCACCTCCGCCAACTATAGCGTCTCCTGACGGGAAAACGGGGGCTCGATACTATACGATGCACCTGCGTCGGTACCGATGCATCGAGACGTGATACCACGCGAGTACCCCCTCCCACGTCAGGTACAATTGGCAGAGAATCATGCGGGAGTGTTGTCCACCGAGGGCGAGAGTAGTTTGTCTACTCCGTACTCCCTCGTAGCACAGAGTTGATCAACAAGAAAGAAAACGTAAAAAATTGATTGGGTCGTCCTCACAACCCCAGCCGTTCGATAAAAAAAGGCGAAGCAGCACCAAACATGCAGTCATCATCTGCTTACAGACAGGGAAAACGCACCACCAAAAGATGTACCCGCACAAAAGGGGAGACCAAAACATGTAACCACAGAAGGAAGGCCGCAATTAAAGTACAAACATCACAAATAAACAAGCCTTTTGGCCGATACAGGGCGATACAGGGCGAAAGAGAGGTTGGTTGTCGTCTCAAGGATTCGCAATCACATCAACTCATAGCACTACCACAACCCAAAACAACAACAAAATCACGCAAAACAACGGAACCATCAGGGACGTGACATCAGCAGCGAACGGCGCTTTTGGACAAAAAGACCATGGGCACTTGCCGGTCATTGCTGTGCGCTTGCACCTAACAAAACTCTACCTGTCGTCCCTTTCGAGTTTCTTCACAGGGGCCTCACCACTGCGGACGACGTCCTTCAGTCGCGTACAAAAAATGGCACCCCTCCCCTCCCACACGTGGTTCACACACACACCCCTTTAGTACAAAACCACGATAATGCTGTCTCTAACTCAGTACTGATAAAATATGATACAAATACCAAGCCACCAACTTAATCTACAATTCTCTAATAACCCCAAGTCACCAACTTTAAACTACAATTTTCTAAGAAAAACATCGGGGGAACAAGACCCCCACAGCCACCAAGCCTAGGTCTAATATAATCGTACAGTACTTTCTTGCAAGACACCCTTGGCAAGGTACTTGAAAAACACCCTGTGGCAGGGCACCGCCGCCGGTGCTCTGTCGTTGCCAGCAGGTTCTGAAGAGGCGCACTTTGCTCGCCTGGGGGATAACCGGCAACCCCCCTCCGACAAGTATCCAGCCTTATCTCTACCCCCTTCCGTCTCCATCATTCGAAAACGAGCGAGCATCATTCGAAAACGAGCGAGCATTGGTCGATCCCTAGCCAAAAAAAAAACATGCTAGGGGTGATAAAATCGCATTTCTAGCAAAAAAATATTCGCTAGAAAATCGGCCCAGCAGTGGTGCTCTTGGGCATGCCAAACCATCAGCACGGCAGACGCACCTCTTCACGAAAGGGGGGCAGGAGTCCCCTTTTCTCCTACAATGCGACCTGCCCTCTCTCGCCGGAGAGACTTTGACGTGGCTATACGCCCCGTGCACCGCCCCGTATCACGATCGCATCCATTACTTGTACAAGCAAGGAAATAATTCAGCATGCGTCGTCCCCGAATAAAACAGGACGTGCCCACGATACAGGAGCAGTGCTTTCACCCGGACTTCCGGGAAAAGGCCGAGTTCACAACAGTTTCGCAAGGGCCGAAAATATGTACTCGTGCGCACGTCATGTCTAGGCACCGGTCAGAAAAAAACGACTCGAATGCCAAGGGCGCTGTTACGATGCCCGGTAGTCGTGTGCACGACAAGCATTCTCTTCACTCCAAACATGTGATGCCGAGACGGATGATCCGCCACGACAACAAAACTAGTGAAGGGGGGGGGGGGTGGGGAGGGGGGGTAGCAAACAAGGCGGAATGATCCTCACTCAGAGGACGGCAAGTTGCTCATGTTGAGCTCCTCCCTCAGTAAACCAAGGTGCTCATGTTGAGGGCGAAGGTGCCCACGGCGAACACCATCGCGGGAACAAAGTGGTACCAGGTGAGCATCGTCATCCGCCACACGCAGCCCCCAAAGATGAGCGCCGAAGAGACGAAGCTCCAGACGACCATCAGTCGCACCGAAGACTTGTACCTCGTGGAAGTAAGCCTGTAAGATCAAAGATGTTGTTGCCATGGACAGAGACGGGAACGAACGGCAGACAGGAAATAAATGTAAAAAACATGGCCAGGGAAGGAAGGTATTTATCAAAGGTATCATGTACAGAAATCAACGGAGGTACCACAACCGGGAATGTCAAAAATGCTGCATCAAATACATGGGTCAAGAACAGTCAGGAAATTAAAACCAAAAACAAATGAACGTACGGAAACGGAAAAAACACAGCCAGGAAAATAAATATCGTATATAAGGCCACAGTCAAAGCCGAAGATCACGATCGTCTATCCATCATTGAGCGAGTAGAATGAGTCCGTCACGAAATAATCACTCCATTCCACCAATCGTCTCGACCAGAATCAACCTTAGGAGACGTTGCATCGAAAGGTGCGACGAACGACGCCCGGAACAAAAAAGGGAACCACCTAATACGTAAGTGCACGCATGTACTACACACCTGGAGCCTCCAGAAGGTACCCAGGGTGCCGACAAACCCAGAAGGGAGTCCTTGACGGCGTACAGGTGTGCGTAGCTGATACACGCACGCAGCGGCGGCAACGAAACAGTGTTTGCAGGCAGGCAGGGGATGTGGCGGGGACGGGGTCAGTTTCATCAGGCAGTGTGAAATATGAACTATGGTAGGAGTGGGTCAGACCAAGTGGTATGGAGCGCACCGCAGACTTTTTTTTGGAATGTATGGCGATCGGGAGGGGGGGGAGTTGCCGCATTCGTCTCAGACGAGAAGACGTTTTTTGCTGTGCTGTGCTTGAATTGAAAGTCATCGAGTACGTTCGCTACAATAGTTTTGAGTGAGAGCTTGCCACACGTTAGATTGCCGGAGAGAAGAAAAAAAATAAAACCTTACCGGAGAAAAAAAATAAAACAAAAAAAACATCAATAAAAAGCGAAAAAAGGGTTGCCTCATTGCGTCAAGCACAAGTCGGAAATTTCGAACAAATCGGGAGAGAAACTAGAGAAGAGCGGGGGAAAAAAAATAGCTGCAAAATGTGTTTGTTTTGTTCTCACTATTGAATGATCTTCACACGGTGGCAAGCCATCCCATAGCGCTGCTTGGACCACAGCGGCAGGACGATCGCGGCGAAGATTAGCGACGGCAGCGCGAAGCCGGAGTGGTACCAGAGCACGCCGTCAGCCTCGACCCACACCAGGAGCATGATAGGCAGAGGGGCCATGAAGAGAAGCTGGCGTGTCGAGGATGAGAGCGTACGAGGGCGGGTGTACGGCATGGGGACAACAGGAAGGCAAAAACAGGAAGAGGGAAGAGGGGGTTGGGGGGGAGTGGTGGCGGGAAGAGATGGGGGCGAAAACAATAACACGACACAACGAGATGACGACGATGGCTACAAGAACAAACAACACAAGGACAAGTCAACGCGACGATACGACCGCAACGATAGTGCAAGTTTGGAGCATGAATATCAATAGCAGAGAGACGGATGCCTGCGATGAAACATTTGCAACGTCCACCGGCAACGCCCAACAGAGAGAGACAAACTCCCGAAGATTTAGGTTCATATTTTTTGTATTTTTTGTCTTCGCTTCAAAAGATACATGCGGTGATGAAGATACACAACCTCCGCGCGGGACAGGCTGGCTGGCATGTTGCACGGACACATGTTCTGCTATTCGTACGCTTGGTAAGAAGTCGCCGTTTCATTGGCCGGAGAGTCGCACGCACGCACCAGAGACGTGGCGAAGTAGTACAGCAGGCCGTTCAGGAAGCACAGCTTCTGGCGCTTGGAAATGCCGGAGGTCCAGAACCCTTTCTCCTTGACGAGCGTCGTGCTTCCCTTGCACCAACGGTACTGCTGCATGAAGAAGCTCTGCGGCTCATCGGGGCAGATCCCCATCGCCAGCGCCAGCGGCACGTACTTGATCTGCGGAGAGGCGGAAGTCGGGGGATAATCGATCAGTGGGGGGATAATCGATCGATAGTGAGAAGATACATATGCGGTTCGCATGGCAACACGCTTTGCCACACCACGCTCATGGGTACCGGAAGCGCGGAGGTGATGTACACCGGCACTCCTGTAGGCACCCCAGGAACTGGCACCAGAGTTTGACGAGCTCTAGAATTCTCTAGTATCCCCCAAGACCAATAAAAAGTGGGGCGGGCCATCATGGAAATCATCGCAAGAAATTCATCCCCCGTTTGATGAGCTACGGGCAACACGATAACGACTAATAATAGAGCCCGGGACGCGAAACGCCCAGAGCCCACGTACGTATGCACGAGACAAACACACCTTGAACCCGTTCTCCGTCATCTTGTAGCCAGTGTACATGTCCTCCGAGTGCTCGATGGCCGCCATACCCCCTAGTGGTTCCAGAGCCGTTCTGCGGTACAGTCCGCAGGACCCCACGCACACGGCCGCGTTGAACCTGTCCTGGTTCACCTGTATTTTCGGCAGTCGCGGAGACAAAACAGTAGCAACACAGGATACAACGAACAGTGTCACAAGCTCTAATAGGATACAACGAACAGTGTCACAAGCTCTGATTGGCTTGTCCTGGTTGATCAGTAGCAGCCAGTCGCAGAAACGGAATCAAAACAGAGGAGGCGCATCACGTGCTAAGCACCGGTTGGCTGTCAATCGAGAGCCACAGATACCGCCGAGAAGGACGACTTGTCGCTGCATCCGCTTACGGGCGTCGGACACGAGACCTTCCTAGACAAAAACAACAGCGTCGCTGTTACCTCGAAGACCTTCGTTGACCAAAAAATCAGGTCGTCGTTACCGCGAGAACGTTCGTGTGGGGGCACGCACGCACGCACGCACGTGCACACGCACGCATATTACTACTATCCACCTACCATGCATTTCCGTCGGGGAGAAGACGAAGCGTCTAGAGCACCACGCACTACTACAACATTACCAAGCATGCACGCTGGCCGCATACCTGCACCATGCGGTAGAAGAACTCCTGCGAGACCCCCGCCCCCTGCTCGATCCACGTCTGCTCCTTGCGGTGTCGGAAGTACTGCGGCGTCTGAACGATGCCAATGGTGGGGTCCTCCCCGAAGTAGGGCACGGTCTCCTTCAAGAAGTCTGGCCTGAAACACGCGCACAGAATCCAAGCGTGTAGACACATATAAGACGATGAGAGTGCTGCTGCTACAACGACCAAAGCAAAAACAGCAGCTTCTCATTTGTCATCCGTCGCGCTAGGTCGGCGTCAGTCAACTAGATACCACGAGGTTTACTAGTCAGCCGTCAGCCGGTTAGCGTCATGAAATAGATCCACACACGAAACGAGGCGGGAACGCGGGACGATAGTTTTCGTCCCCTCCGCACTTGGTTCCTCCACATCCACTGTTATTGTCCCTCTGCCTCAGTCGCAGGAAAATCAAGAAATCCCCCCTTCCGTGTGCCCGAAACCCCGTAACCAACAACTACGCTTCTGGCAAACACACGCTCGCCTGCGGACAAGCACAAGCTAGCAAATAGGAAGAAAATAAATTGGTTTCCGATAACTCTTTCCCCCCCCCCGCCACCCAATGTCGATGTGCTACGCTCTCACTCACCTGGGGCAAAAGTCGGCGTCGAAAATGGCGATCGCTTCCCCCGAAGTCCGCGCGAAAGCGTTGCGCAGGTTCCCCGCCTTCTTGAGCGCCGGTGCATCCTCCCTCACAACGTCTTCCGCGATTCCGCGACAGCAGTGGGTGGCGGCGTCAGGCAACAACACGGGGGCAGTAACGGTAAGCGGGACGAGATAGAACAAACTGGGTTACCATCGGTGACGGTACACACCGGGCTGGAAGCGGGAACAACAAGGAACGAGAACGGAACAAAACACACAACGATCTCGAAGAAAGAATGATATATTTTCCTGCCAACATCCGGCCCAAACCCTCACATTCGAACCCGAACTTGGAGGCGAGAGCCGCCACCTCGTCGCTGGCGCCGTCGTCCAATACGAACACCTTGAAGTCGGGGTAGTCCAGCGCGGCCACGTGCTGCCACGTGTTGGCGAGCAGGTACAGCGGCTCCTTGCACACGGGCAGGAACACGTCCACCGAGGGCCGGTAGCCCTTCTCCTGCGACGCCCTCAAGACCTCCGTGTGGACCTCGGGCTTGAAGTCCCTACCCCAGATGGCAATGCCAAGGTCTGAGGCGTTCAGAGAAAAACGGCAGCAGTTCGGAGAGCGATTAGGAGATTTCAGCGGTTTTTCGTTCTTTACCACCATTTGTTCTTGTCTGTTCGCTGTTACTAGCTAGACCCAAGGCATCTACAACTTTGTAGATTGCGCTTCGACGACCACTTCAAAAGACAAAAGCAAACTACAAAAAAATGATTTCTAGGGCCCTTTGCGAAACGCGTGGGAGGTGTGGACGTGCTCTCTCGCAAGCCACCCCCCGGTGTCGGAATTCCCATTTTCAATACGTTCCTACTCCCTCGTAAGCTTCGATGCCACTATCTACTCACAGTGGCAGGCCGTGTAAAAGATGAGAAAGATGGCAGGGGCCCCAAACCAATAGAAGGCGGGGGTGACCATGGTGAAGAGCCACATTCCCCACGTCAGAGCGGCGAAAGAGATCATGGCGCACGTGATGAGGCCCAAGCGTCCGCTGTGGTGGTAGATAATCTGTTAGCGTACGGCAGAGGGAAGGGCGACGGGCCGTAAGAAAAGTGCAAAATTCGTCACTGCTACTGGTTCGGAGAGTCAACGCTGTAGTAGTGAATGCCAATTGTGGATCCTGTTCGGCTACAACACCGGGACATTTCGAGAAAAACGAGCAAAGCATCAACCACAAAAATGCAACCGCGCAATAATTGTTTGCACTACAACACACAAACGTTGCATCCGGCCGTCTGTCTCACCTTTTCCTCGTCGGAGGGCGGGCAGGGTAGCACCAAAGACTGGGCATCGGCGTCGCTGCCGACAACCGCTACCGCACCGCTGTCCCCCCCCGCTACCTCCGCCGCCGCCGCCGCCGCCGCCGCCGCCGCCGCCGCCGCCGTCGCACGCGTGGCCCGCGCGCCGCCTTCCTCCAGGTCCCCCTCTACCTCTACCCTAGCCCTGGCCGTCGTCGCCGCCTCGGGAGAAGCCGTAGCCGACGACGTCTGCGGTGAACCGGTGTGGGGACTCAGTGGGGCGACCCGAGGGGGCCTGCTCACGTTGCCCCTGCCCCTCCAGACCTTCCGGGCTGGGTCTTCTTCTTGTCTTCCCCTCGCCAAGCCTCCGCCCTCCTCCTCGACGGGCTTTGGACTCGAGGACGCCACGCTGCTGCTGCTGCTGCTGTCGCCCTCGCTGCTGCCGCTGCCGAAGATGTCTACGTACGACGGCAGGCGAACAAACGGGGGCTTGCTGCCGCCGCCACCGCCGCTGGTGCTGCCCACGAGCCCGGGCTTTGCTACATCATCACCGTCCACCGCCGCCGATGCCCGCGGGGACGCGTCAGACACCGCGCTGCTACGGCGACCGAGCGGGCGTGCACCGGCACCGGCCCCGCTTCTCGCCGCGCTCCGGAACCTCCCGAACATTTCCGAGGCATGCTCGCGCTTGGGGGCGGCGCAACTGGTCCCGGCGTCCCATCTTGCGTCCCTTCTGTTCGCCGCCGCCGCCGCCGCCGCCGCCGCGGGTGACATCGAAACAGCCTGCCCTGTAGTGGCCTCGGAGGGCGCTGCGCCGAGGGTAGCGGCCAGCGACGGCACCGAGATGGAAACCAGCGACATGTCGTCGGGCTCGAACCCGCCGCCGCCGCCCTCGTCGTCGTCGTCGTCATCGTTACCGGTAGCGGCGGCCCGCATCGCCGGTGCCGACGACAACGCCGCTGCCCGTCTAGGGCGCCGCTCGTTGTACATCGGGTTGTACGAGAAGAACCCCTCCACGGCATCGTTGTTGTCGTCGTCGTCCTCCGATTCTTCCCAGTCTCCCCGCCCGCTGCGCTTGGCCGCCGGTTGAGGCGGGCCCCAAGCGAGCGTCGGCGTGCTGCTCCTCGGGAGGAACTCGTCCCCGTCCTCCTCCTCCTCCCCCGACCAGATCCCGCTACTGCCGCGGCTCAGGGTCGCCTTTGGCGTGCGTCGGCCCTTCCCGTAGACGGCGTTGTTGTACGAGGCGTACGCCTCCTCCTCCTCTTCTTCTTCGCGGGACCCTGACCGGCGGGTCCCGCCGCCCCTTCCGAAGGAGGGCGAGTTTCGAGACCGGTACGGGGAAAACGCCTCTTCCGATGCCTCGTCGTCCTCCTCCCGTGCTCCTCCTACGGCGGCGACGCCCCCCGCGTCTGGGGCCCGCTGAGCTTTCTTCCGCCGCTTGTTGTCGAACATCGGGTTGTTCGAGGCGAACGCCCCCTCTTCCTCCTCCTCCTCCTCTGCTTCGTATCCCAACGCCGCCGTCCCGCCCCGCTTGCTGCTGCCCGGCGAGCGGCCGGGAACGGCGCCGGCGGCGACGCTACCAGCGAGGCGCCGCTGCTTGGCATGTTGTTGTTGTTGTTGTTGTTGTTGTTGTTGTTGTTGCCCCTCGTGGCCTACCGCCCCCGCGGATATCTCCCTGAAGTACCTCACGATCGTGTGGCTGCTGCTGCCGCTGCTCCTGTCGATGCCCCTCCTCCCGCCGTCGGTTCCGCTGCTGTCGGCGCTCCTGATGCTGCTGCTCCTGGTGCTGTTGCTGGAAGCAGGCGCGGTAGGGGTCCAGGAGTCGAAAACCGACGAAGCGCTAGGCCCCGCGTTCGCTCTCGACAAGAACGGAGCCGCTCGCTGCCGCTGCCGCTGCTGCTGCTGCTGCTGCTGCTGCCGTCCGGCGTGTTCGGGGGTCTCGGCGTCGATGGCCACGAAACTCGCCGGGCCACCGGGGGTGTCCGGCTGCGTTAGCGCGGACGACGACCGAGGAAAGCGCAGAGGGGGGCCCTGCTGTGCGGGGTGGGGAGGTGCGCGCGTTGCGGTTAGCCGCCATCGAGGACGGACGTTGAGCGGGACAACAGACGTCTATAGATTGGTATGTAGGCGGTGCTTGTCGCCAAGAACAGCGCGGGTTTTTCCAAACCTTGTCTCGAGGGGGTCGTCGCCGTTAAGTTCTTCGAAGTTTGTGTTTGTAACTAACTCTCCATAGATGAGCCTCGAGCACTCTACGCAAGTCGGCTGTGGACGGATCGAAGCTCCTACCCAAGGTGACGCTTGATGTAGAACAGCACGTTTCGAAAAAATGTTAACTTTCGTTCAACCGTCAACCGTCAACCGTACAGAAGGGGCCCCTGTTTAGTGCCGGCCGAGTACTGTAGAGCTAATGCCCGGTAAGTGCCGGTCGGTGTTTTCGGCGGGCACACACTAGAATTTCCAAGTCATTGTCAGTACTTCGAATGGTGCCGTTGAATTTCTGGGCAAACACCGGCACTAAAAAAACAAGGACCGCAGGCGACAGAGGAGATGTCGCATCCCGTGGGCCGGCTCGTGGACCGGTTTTCGAGCTCGATTATTTGTACTCCACACAGAACAAAAAGTGGCGTAGCCGAAGGGCGGCCGGCGCTGGAAACTTCTCGTCGAGAGTAGTCAGGAACCATGTCGTGTGATATATATGCAATCTCCTTGTGGAGCATTCGAGCTTTTGATCATTGGTTAAATTGTCCAAGCGGGTGTGATGTGCGATAGTCTATATGTCGTACAGCAGTACGATGGCAGTGGCATGCCACCTACGGAAAGGAAGTAACAGGAAAAACATAAAGCAAATCCTGACCTACGTCCTGTTGTTCTACTGATCTCTAGAGCAGCATACGGTGATGTCTCCCTGTGGCTAACAGGCTCTGCCATCTTCCATACGTATCTACGGGCTATCTGTATGTGGTGGGAGGGGGACATGCAGAACGAACAATAACAATATCAGTTCGTTGAGGAATTTGCCCTCCGGACTCCGGAGTGAGCGGACCCCAGAAAGGCTGCAACTCTTATTTCAAGACAAATGCATGCCATGCATACCTTCAGCGGAGTGTCCCAGGTGCCGTCGCGCTCCACCGCCGCAATCTCCCGTCCATATGGCAGCTCCCCCCGACCACGACCGCCGGCCATGGGGGCGGCTTCGGCGGCGGCAGCAGCGGTGCTGTCGCCGTTGCCGTTGTTGTCGTGTTGCGCATGTACGTTGGTGGTTGTCTTTATCTTTCGAAGGTCCTTCGGCGGACCGCCAGCAGCCCGCGCGTCCAGGAAGGGATCGGGCACCATGTACTCGCTCATCGCAGCAGGAATCCTCAGCCCGGCGGCTTGCACTCCTCCCGTAGCTGCCGCTGCTGCTGTTGCTGCTGCTGTTGCTTTTTGCCCAACGCGCAGCCTGTCCTCCGGCTGATGTTCTAGGTTGGGCGCCGCCGCAAGGAAGCGCCTACTTTTCGCGTGCGGAGTCTCCGCTCCTGCGGCCCTGTGAAGAAAACAGACGGAAATCGCAAAAGCACGAAGCAGAACAGAAACGGTTTCGGAGGGGGCGAGACCAACAGCAGTTCACGACTTAGGCACTGCTGCTGTCGTGAGCCACGGAGGAGCAGATCAAGAGCGAGGCAGGCCCCCAAATCAATGACAAGAGTAGGTCATCGCGGTATCAGATTTTTTCGGAGATACAACCACGACGATGATCCTTCGCTGAAGAAAATGAGCCGAACTTTCCCTCTCATGATGGAACCATACTGCAGGCCTTGATGATCTACATACAGCAGGGGCGCACCTGCGGTACCTGCTCTCCATTGCGCTCCCCCGGTGTGATGAGTGACGTGTCTCCGGATGATTCCAAACACGCATCTCAATGTGGGTCTAGAGGGGGCGAGCTGGAACAATGGTGCGGTAGGGGGAGGGCGGCAAGCGTGTGGCAAAAAGCGTGCATTTCGTGCACACAGATTTCCGCTGATAAACAATAAATTTTCTGGGGTCCCAGGGTCCTTCAAAATCAGTAAAAATAATTCGACTCGCCTGCGTGCAGGCGTGCTCTACGCAGGGTTCCCGCTCGGTGCCGAATGCGTCTCGGCAGGATAGGAGAAGAAGGGTCGAGGGTACGTATGTGTGTTCGTTTCTTAATCCAGCATCGGCCGCGCTAACCGACTGTGTGTGCGCGCCAGAATTCCTGGGCAGACTACGTGTGAAACGGAAGATCTGGATCTACTGCTGTAGCGTCTGCGCGTCTGCGCGACCCAATAAACCGATGATGCAGCACGGTATTTACCCCGCGCGTACTGCTGCTGTAGTCGGCAACACAACGCCCTGTATGACACGCGCTTTTTACGATAAGGCGGTGACGATGTATTCTCCACTACCCCGCAGAATCACTCTCGATGTCGGGAGCTCTTGCCTCCTTCCGAGTCCCACTTCTCATCAGCGAACCGTGTTCGCATGGTTTGATTGCATGGTGGGTCAGGACGTTACTACGTCGGATTCACTATACAACACACATGCAGTTCTCACCCCTCGGCTCGTCAGATCATTACCCGCCGCAGCCACCATCTACACCAGCAAAGGAGATGCGGGTACGTGTGGACATCTCATTAGTTACGTCTACGCCAACGGCCAGACGGATGCTGGGTTGAATTTCAAGCGATTGCCGAAAGAACCAACTGACCGTGTCACTGCTTTGCGATGATGGACACATACAACGATAGAGGGCGTCGAGGAGGGCAGCGCACACGTTTGACGGTGGTCTTGCGACATTCTATATATAGGTTAGAAGTGGGCGGTAGAGAGCAAACACAGACAGGTATGCTGCTGCTGTAGGTGACGGAGAGCAGCGAAGCGAAATGAAACGGGTGGACAGCAGTCGTCCGAGCGAAGAGTTGTCACAGTCAAGATACGGATGCAAGATACGCGTCATGTTGTTGCCACGTTGACGTTGTCGCCAGTCTGCATCACATGCAGCCGTCACGCACCACCGTGTGTCCGCACATCCATACGTACGGCGACGTGCAGCAACGGGAATCAGGTGGTTAATAAAGCGATAAAGCTGATGATGAGCGAAACGATCCACGAAAGTGATCCATCTTTCGAGAATCTGTCTCTGTCTCTGTCTCTGTCTGCTTGTTGTCTCTCTCTCATAGGCGGTGCGAAACGCCGTCGTAGTTAGTTCCACGTGGTTCATCCGTCCTCCCACGCATGAGGCTACGAGGCGGGTGGTGCCGACTACTAGACTGCGGTACGTACGTTCAAGTCTTGTGAAAATAAATATGTGAAGTTTCAACCAAATGCTTTTTTTCTTGCAGACTTGAGGATACCCTCCCCGCTTCCGTTCTCAGACAAACCTGAAGCAAAAAGAAAAAGCTGGGCAGCTCAGGACTACATACTGTACATACAGGCACAGTACCGTATGTCTACAGAGCAACGCCGACGATATTGGTCGGCTTGCTTTCAACAATCAATGTGCGCAAAAGTAAATCCTAGTGCAACACATCGATTGATTGCCGGCAATCAATGCGATCTCATCCCGCCGGACCATACCAAAAGGGATGGCCAATAGATGGCTAGCAGCGGACCTAGCTAGGTGCCCGACCGCCCAAAGAAAGGCCGAACAGAGACAAATAAATGATTGATTGTGTAGATCTCCTGAACAAGCTACCCCTCTCGTTTTCTTTGCCCAGGTCTTTCGTAAACTAACCGACCGGAAATAACGCGCCCTTATCCACGAAACCTCGCAGCTCATGAGCAACACTCCTGGCAGGGTGATCATTGTTGTTGTTGTTGTTGTTGTTGTTGTTGTTGTTGTCTTCACATTAAAAACCGTTCCGATCTCTCTCTACCCAGTACCTTCGTATGTCCGGACTGATCCAACACTCGACGCGGTCGATTCCCGTGGTCACACGTTAACTTACCCTAAAAAGGTACACTCAAATAAACTGGCCCCGAGGGGTCCGCAAGTCAATCCAAATCAACGACAGATATTCTGGAACCCTCCACTCCCTCTCTGCGCGCTATGCGAGGTATCAACTGAGACTAGGAGTCACTATCTATCATGGGCCGGAGAGAAAGAGGTACACCCCCTTGGTTCAATCTTGGTACTTCACAACGCAAGCAGAGACCAGGCCATCTGGCACAGAAAAAGAGAGAAAAAAGAGAAAAAAAGAGAAAAAAATAAAAATGGAAACCGGAGAAGAGAAAATAAAATGGAAATAAACTGAAAATAAACTGAAAAAGGGCGAGGACAAAGAGGGACCAGGCCGAAAATAACAAGAAGTATGAGGCAGAACAAGGCACACGGTGGAGAGACCACTAACGAACACTAACGAACAAGCAAACACGCCAACATGGCCACCAACCAGCGATACTTTGTAATGGTACGTCATCACTACTGGGGGGTTGGTGCAATGGTGCATGCAGCGTTGGGGGGGGGGAATTGGCTAATAGAATTTCAATCCGGGACGTATCGTGCCACTCGGTCCGTCTCTTCTCGTTTGCTTTCTTCCCTCGCCGTCTCGTCCGTCTCCTGCCCCCCTGGCGCCCCATTGGTTGTTGGCTTGTGGTTTCGTTTGAGCACTCGTTGTCGGCTGGCCTCTTCTTCCTTCTCGTGCCAGGAGGTCATGAACCTCTCAGCTCCAGCACCGCCGCATGCCAGGGTACTCCCCCCTCCACCTTCGCGGCTTCCGTCCACCTTAACTTCGGTGCCGAGTCTTTCGGTACGGGAATTCCGAGACAACATGGATCGGTTTTCGTAGATCCGTGGTCGGCCCCGAATGCCTTCAGGTCGTCGAGCACACACTTCGGCCAGTTCTGTTCCTGTCCCCCCCTACGTGGCTTCTCCCCCCCGCCAGCTCGCCGAGCATCAGTCGTTTTGTGCGGAGTGATGATTACCACCCAAAGGAGGAACAGGCATGCATCTACAACAAACAGTAAACGTATCTCGCACCCCACACCGGAAAGGAGATTGAAGTGGTGCTGTGGTACAGATGGCGCCCGCACTTAAGAACATCTTAATTTGCGTGAGGCTGGGGTTCTTAGTTGCCTGTTGAGGCTGCGAATGGCCATTATATAGGTTTTAGTGTGAGGTTCTTAACGGGGACCACTAAAATACGCTCATGTTCATGAGTTTTAGATTTTTTGAGCCTCATGTTCTTAACAGGTAGGTTCTTAAGTGCGGGCGCCATCTGTACCCGTATGTATGTGTGTCTCGCTCTTCCGGGAACACGAATCTAATGAATCTAATCATTCCAGAACCCACACAACGTGTGCCATAGCAGCAGTATAAAGTAGTATGTTAGGCAAAAGTCTAGCCTTCTCGCTTCCATTCAAGGCCACGTAAACACTGGCGACCACTGCACAGTACGTTAAAGCAAAGTCCAAAGAAGGTGACCCACGGGGACAAGTAATAATGATCAGGAGGAACGCTTGGCCTCCCCCCTGCGAAAACCATCCACGAGAAACGCAAACGAAACGTAGGGAAAATATATGTGCATGTATACTTGGAGGAACATGAGCGATCGCTTTCCTCTCAAGAAGCCGGGTGCTGTGGTGTGTTGCGTAGACAAAACTCTCTTCTTCTGAATGATGAGTCGCATCGAAGCAGCCAATAACAGCAAGCAGAGCAGTGTTTCCACACCTACGTGCAGTAGTATCTACATGTGAACGATTTCCATGACATCCCCAGACACTCACTCACGCGGAGAGCAAGATCCTCTCCAAAAAACGCCCAAACAGCGCAACATCCAGTAACCCCGAGCAAGCAGGCTACCCGAAACAACGAGGTGCCACAACTAACTATACGGAGCAAGACGGGCCGATGGATGCCCCCCAAAGGATGGATGGTCCCTGCATGCAGAAAGAATCGTCTCCAAAAAAATTCCCCGTCACGCCAAGAAACACGCTGCAACTACTGAGTGTAACGACGAAAGTTTCACAGCAACGATGGTTCACGTTGGGTCTGTAACTACAGTATACCCAAACAAGGAGATGTTGCCAACACTCCACGCAAGACGCGAGGATAATTCGCGGCCCACAATCTCCTGCGGGGTACACGCAGTCAGGGGTTACCTGTTCAATACGAGAGTGAGTCTCACCCTTGCCCTGGTCTCCTTCAAAGAGATTGGGCGGGGGCCTGGGGGGCGTCCAGCAGAGTACCTACGTGCGCACGGCTCTTTTGAGGTGATTGCGGGGCCCCAGGCCTGCACAAGGCCAACAGCAGCGTCTAGGACTTCGACTCGATCGGCTCGGCGTACCACGCCAAATAGCACCAAAAATATCTGTTCACGTCGTCCTCGACTCTCGTCCATGCCTGCGACAAATCATGGGGGGAGAGCAACCAGAGCACCAGCGCCAGCTAGCGTCCACCCCACACTCCTTCATGAGGTATTATATATAGCCTGACGTCGACTTCAGCGCAATCTGTGATTTTCAAGAACAAGAACAGGGAACACACGGATGTCCTATGTCCCAAAGGGCATCCACGAAAAGCTGGATCTCGTGGTCATTCTGTTGGGGCCGTCCTACATAACCAGACTTTCTTTCTCGAATTGAAATCTCCTTGCACAGCAGCAGCGAAAAGAAAACACAAGACTCTTGACAGGAAAAATAATACATCGTCTTGGAACTTCAACACGGAAAAGGAGCACGTCTACGGACGCGAAACCACTTACAAAACCGAAAGCACTGCCGTTTCGCCCCAGGCGAATCGTTTTCGTTCGCTAGAATGCTACATGGAAGGAACCGCTCCGCAGGGCGGAAACCACGGAGTGGGGGTTACCACCCGGGGTGCACGGAATTAATTCTTGCGACAAAAGACCGCAGGGCTGTCAGAATGGACTAGACCGGACGGCAGGCGGAGGCTAGGGGCGCGTCGGTCGACAAAAGCGATGACCGTTTCACGCCAAAAACACGGCAAAACAAAGAACAAGAAAAATAAGACAAACCACGAACAACCGTAACAGACAAGAATTTGGAAACTCGACCTCCCACACCACTGGAATCTGCTCTGCTCTTATCCCTCCCCCCTGCTACAAAGGAGGGAGAATATCGCGTGCGTGGTCACAGCACCAGCGCCTTTCGCTCATCACGCGCCGCAGCAACAGAAACGAAACGCCACCCCGGCTTGTGGAAACCCTTCGCCGTCCGTTTTCGCCAAGACCTATCTGCCCAGGCTTCCAAAAATGAACTACACCACACACCACCAAAAGAGATGAGTCCCGTATCTATTGCGTCGATGACTACATGCGCTGCCGCTCTCCTTTTCCCAACCCCGCTATTTACTGGGCGCCGATGCAGATCCACAGCCCCGCCTCCCTCCGCAGGCGGCTGCCCCTACATCCCCCGAAATTCACACCATTGTTGAGGAGGGCCTTGTCCTTGTCCTTGGGTAACGCGCCGCTGCCAACCCCCAGCAAAAGTTGCGAAAAAATACACCTCCCGCCAGAGTCCCTGACGAAACAAACGGCTAATGTCCCACGTGAGCGGAAGCGACCCCGCTGGTAGCAGACATGAGATTGCTCCCTCCGAACCAAAACGTCCGCTGGAACAGTTGACCCTAGAAAAAAAATCCTTTCAAAAAACAATTGACCCATCTGGCCCTCGACCATTTTCTTCGCCCCCCCCGCTGGCATCGCGAACCCCGACCCCAGGTTCACACAACACGCTTTCACCTAGAAATACAAAACGTGCGTTCACTCCGCGCACTGAAGTCACGCACGCACGCGCGTCGCACCGATCGGGATCGGCGTCTGCACGGTAGGGAACCATGCCCCTCCTGCGTGCAAGCACCACGTTTCCCTGCAACTAGTCTCGCATCTACAACGACATCACCACCACCTAAACACCGCCCCTCCTCCGAAAAAGAGAGCGGCCGCAAAAGAAAGAGAACTCCACAGACACGAGCAGCAGTGTACCGGCAGGCCATTGCCAACCGCACCGCCTGTACTGCTCCAGCCAATCAGGTCCCACCCGCTCCAGCCCTGACGTAACCGCCCCACAGTTTCAGGCGCCACAACCCCGCCCCCCGCGATGGACACGCCTCCTCCTCCGCCACACCGCCTCAACACCCAAGGGCGGCCGGTGGCCAAACCAGGCCCCCAACCACGCCCCCCGCGCACGCCCGCAGCGGGAAAAAACAGCTTCGGTCCCTCTCTCTCTCTCGGTCGGCATCCTAGCGAAGCCCACAGAGGGAGGGTCGCACATAGAGCAGCGACAGACTCTCTCTCGGCACCCTGTGGCAAAGCCCACAGGAGTAAGGAAGGTCCCACATCCGGGCTGACCCCGCACTAGGAACGCCTCTGCCGCTACCACCCAAACGCCACAGCTCCGGAGATGAGCGCCACGGCAAGCGCGGCGGCGCTAGTCGAGATGGCCGCCGCCGTCGCCGTCGTTGCCGCATTCTCGGCCGTCTCCACCGTGTCCCCGTCGTCTGACGCCGCCACCGGGGTCGGAGTCGGCGCCGGCACTACGTAGCACGCCGAGGAGGTGTCGTCGCAGGAGAACTGCACGCAGCTGTAGGCCAGCTGGTCCTCCGAAGCGTCCGCTGGTATTACGCAATCGCACTCGCAACAGTCGCCTGCCCGTTGCGGAGTAAAAAACAATGGCATTTTTCGATGGTTTGAGTCGCCAAACGAGGGTTGATGAAAATATCGCTCGTGAAATGGTACTTGCCAGGCATCACGCATCATCAAGGCAACATAAAATAAAAACACAGGTTGTGTGTTTTGTGTTTTTTCAGTTTTGGGGACGCAATAATTGGCGCTGCCGATATTGCGGACTTCGGTCGTTTGGTGATTTATCGGTCGGGAAATTGTTTTTTGGTTTGGTCCTCGGCTCTGATGGCCTGGTTGAGAATCCCATCGGCATCTGCCTGCGCGGATACATTACACGTCACGAAAAAAAAGGTGCGCGAGGAGAGTGGTTTGTTTGCTCTTCTTGTCTCAAGTGGATTGTACTGGATTGTACCCCCCCCGTGTGCGTCTGTGTTCATCCCGTCTGTTCTTGTCTCCACTTCAACGCCTTCCGGTAACAACTTTCAAGCACCAGTCGGGGCCATACAAGAGGATGTGAAACACTGGAGTTCTCTGTCATTTTTTGGGGGATACTCATGTTTAGCACGGCTTAGGCCATTGAAAACGCGTCCTCGAGGGGACGGAGCATTGTTGTTCTAATATTGCTTGTTGTGGGGGATGGAGGGTAATAAAATGCCCACGGTTGCATCGTAAGTGTTTAGAAAGACGGCAGTGCTACACCAGCAGCCAAGTTCCCTTGTGTAGCGTCTGGCATTCTTCGCGGATCAACCGTTGCGCGTGTCCCGCCTACGATGTTTTGCGAGCAACGTTTTGTCCTTGCACGTCACGGAAAAATGGGGTATGTAAAACACAAAAACACAAAAAAAAAATCGAGATCGCCCTTCGGGAGAGTCGTTGTTCAGGCGACCGATCCCCCTCGCCACTACAATAGCAACACCGGTTGGAGGTGATACACCACACATAATTAGCATGAGGGCAGGGGGTCGCTCGGCATGCAACCCACCCCGCGAGGGAGGCACCACCCTTGCGAGGATAGTAATCCATGATAGAGGTGGAGGTTTCATAACACTAACCTAAATAAACAACCCCCCCCCCTGCTAAAACCAAGCTTGTGTTGTGTCCTCGCCAAGGCTACTGCGGGACGAGGGGGGGGTGCACTGATACCCTAACAGCAGTGTAGTCGTTTAGACCATTGGCCTCGCATCCCTACAAAGCCGGGACGGAGCACGCCGGGTTTTTCTCACCGGACCGGGGGGACCGGTTGGGTGCTGTCAGGCGTTTTTGTTTCGGGAGGGAGGGTGCTTCCTTTCATGGGTGACGAGCTGTAAACGACGTGATGTCAGGCCCTCGGACGGATGGCAAAGAAGACAGATAAGCCTACCATGTATTTGCATCGAAAAAGCAACATGCCGGGAGAGGGGGGGAATCATTCAACAAACAACAAGTCACCAACGCACCGCCATCGAAGCCGCACTCCTCAAGGTTATTCGTCGCGTCGTCGCAGTAGCCGTCCCCGATAAGGTCCAGCTCTCCCTCGCAATCCGGGTAAAGGTCGTACATATCCACACTCGTAGAAGTCGCCGCTGCCAACCGACCACACCCAGCCGAGAGCGCTACCAAGGCTACGACGGCCCACCGTGCGCGGCTGCCTCCTGGACGCCCAACCATTGTTTATTGTTCGTGATTTTCAGCGGGAAAGCTGAGGGAGGGGGGGGCTGGTTTGGTTTCGCCTGCAGGAGAAGGCTGGCTGTCGAGGAGCGGTGGAGGGAGGGCCGGGGGTGGGGGGTGATCGTGTTACTTACATGCTTCGCATTTAACGATCCCGCAATAAAAATAGGCTTCCGCTGTGTAAGGCGCAGCAGCAGAGAGGCAGGTTCGCACGAAATCAGGAGAAAGCGCTATCCGGCTGAGCAACGAAAAGTCGCCAAACCCACACACCGGGAAAAAAAATCGCGTACTGATGAACACGAACTCTTTCCTACATGTACATCGACGGGCTCCTTGCGACCGGCCGGTGTGTGCGGGTACTCAAGAATACTAAACTATGAAGACACAAAAGAGTATCATATCAATTATTGGTACTGTAATAGTCAATTGTACATATACATGGTTTGTTTATTATGTTCCTGGTTTTGGCAGGGCATATGGGGATGAGACACAAGAAACACGAGGGCTCAGCAGTGCAAGGTCCTACACTAAATAAGTGGCGACGAGAGCAGAAAAGGACCCTGGAATCAACCGTCGTTTATTGCTGTCCCGTTCTCTACATTGCAGCAATCGTTCGTTGCTGCTGTGGTTTTGACGTGCAAAATCGTTCTGCTGCCTGGCCTCTATCCGACCTGTTCAAAGAAAATAGTTTCAGGTTGGCACAACAATAAAATACCTGGCTTGCGGACCCTTTCGGGTCCATGATATTTGAGAATACCTTTTTCAGGTAAGTTCCCACGGGAATCGCTCGGCAAGTGTTTTGATCAGTACGGACAGATGAAGGTACTGGGCAGAGAGATCGGAACGGTCTTTACTGCGAAGACAACAGCATCAACAACAACAACAACATAGTCTACGTACCTGACACAAGTACTCTGATATGTATGCATACATTGGTGCACCACGAAACAAACCGACGTAAGCTTATGATTCACTCATGTACATACGCATATATGTATACAGTATGCATAAACCCAACAGGAGAGTCTCCGAATCTTTCAAGATATAATCATTGTACAGGCCTACACCAGTAGGCCGGGCGTGCGTTGTAGGTACGGGAGATTCATGTAGAGAGTACTACTGTAGAGAGGGCAAATAAATCCATGCCACCCAGGGTCGGTGGTACGAGCGGAACAGTTATCGGTATCCCTCCTTTGTGCGCGCTGCTATGCATATGCATGCCGATCTACCACCGGATGCCCATCAACCAAACAACGGCCGTTGTTGTTGTTGGAGGTAATGTACTGCTGTAGACCGCTGTAGACTGCTGTGGACCAAGTCCTCGTGAGAAAGAGACTCCACAAAAAAAAAACGGCGGCGCATGTTTTTTGTGGAGCGCCGCCGAGCTTTGATTGAGGCTGCTTTGGAACGCCTAGCCAACCACACTGGCTGCTTTGATAAGCGAGGCCGTCTGGTGAACGCTTGTGCGTAGAAAAGGTGGCGTTTGCTCTGGCCGCACACCACACCAAGCAGTTCTCCTCTCACTCGAAGGCGAGGGGATGGTGGTGAAGAATTGATTAAGTGTTGTTAGGGGTCATGACATCACACGGCCAACAATCAACCAAGACAAATACCAGATACCCCGGCTAACTGCTGTAGCGCGGACGCCACAGAGCAAGGGTAGTCAAGTGTTCTGCTTTACCCTGAGTATGTACCGTATGCACTGATGCTTGCAGACCACGCCGGTGTCGTATGTCTTTGCAGCTACACGGGATGTCTGTCCACCAGTGCTGGTGCTGTCGACTCACATGCATCCAGGCGGCACACCAACAGCCAAAGGCCCGGCTTCAGTACGACACATCATGGAATCTTTTTTTGGGATTTTCCAACAAGCCCCAACAAATAAAACACTTTACAAGTATCCCATCACCATATCTCAAAGAGATTGATTACCTAATCACCGCTTCCTCTTCCTGTAGCTGACGGTTGCTGCTACTGCTGTTGCCCTGTGAGAGGAGAGAGAGGCGTGAGAGGCGGCGTGCGTCTCCTCCCAAGACACATCATCTCATCATTGCCGCCCACACGCGATGATTCAGGGTCCTCTGTCGTATGCGTGCGGTCAAAAACCAAGGTACCAGGCGCGGTAGGCTCACCTTGGACCTGATGCCTGATGGGGTCCCTTGAAGAACGAGCGATGAGTGTCAGGCTGATAGTATGGTTCTCTCAGTAGCAGCAGCAGCAGCAGAAGCAGCAGGCAGTGTGTGGTGTGTGTGGGGGACCAGACAACGGCAGCAGCGGAGAGAGAACAACAACAACTTTTTCTCTTTCTCCGAACAAAAATTGATTGCCTCGTGTTCTAAAAAAAACAGCGGTATGTACAATACTGCGGTCCCGTTTGCGAGGACCCTTGCGGGACCCCGTCCGAGTTGCCGAGTTTGATGGGTGTGGTGCTGCTGCTCTGCCTGTCTGTTTTGTTTGTTGTTGTAGCGCGCGACAGCAGCAGCATTGGTTTGGACGCACCATACGAGCAAGAAGGGCCCACAACCCCCCAGCAGTAGAGCTTTCGAGAAGCTATTTCACACAAGGGGGGGCGCGATACACATATTGTATATAAGACTGTCGCCAAGAATCGCACTACAGATGGCGCCCGCACTTAAGAACATCTTAATTTGCGTAAAAAATCTTAATTTGCGTGAGGCTGGGGTTCTTAGTTGCCTGTTGAGGCTGCGAATGGCCATTATATAGGTTTTAGTGTGAGGTTCTTAACGGGGACCACTAAAATACGCTCATGTTCATGAGTTTTGGATTTTTTTAGCCTCGTGTTCTTAACAGGTAGGTTCTTAAGTGCGGGCGCCATCTGTACCACGTAGAGCAATCACCAGAGAAAAGCAGTGTGTAGAAGATGATTCCGGCACGGTTACGCCCGTGAGACTGAAGCTACAAGGTGATGAAGTGCCCGAAGTTTTCTGATTGGCCATTTTTTTTTAAAGGAGTAGATTTCAGGTGTGCGGAAAATTCAATGGTCGACCGATGACGTCAGCCACGGTGATGACTTCGTCTCTCGGGGAAAACTCGAAAACCTTTTACATTCATTCGCCGTGGGCGACTGATTTGGTTGATGGCCTCAGTCACTCGCCGGAACCGCCGACCACACGTATAGTACAATCATTCGTGTCCAGGACGAACACATTTATTTATCACCTGGCTGCACCGAAAAATACCTGGGCTGGGTGGTGTGAACCCACCACTCCCTCTCCTCTTCTTCTGGTCGTCGTATTAATATCCATCGCATCCACACGATGGACGAACGCTCTTCGAACAAAAAAAAAGGCACGCACAGCAGGGACAAATCTTGACGGGAAACAATCGCGGCCAGGAAACACCCACACGCTCACAACCACGTCCTTTCCTCACAGGAGAAGAGGCATTTTCTACATTTCAATCGCGTCTCCACCACACGGAGTCATCGAGAGACAGATAAATTATTGTCACCAGTCAACGGTGCCACCACCACCGTGGTTGACGCTTCGGGTAAAATAAGAGAAAAAATATGTTGGCTTATTTCAAAGAGAGGATGGCACGGGCGACCACGGCACCTGTATCATCATCACATGCCACCAGCTCCCGGTGGTGCTACGTGGAGCAGGTAGACCAGGCCGCACCCCGCGCAGGCAGGAGCAACGGGTGGCGGTACATGGGGCCTAGAGGGGTCACCTATAGGCGCCAGGCCGTCTTCGGCACGCGGTTTAGGGTTCGTATCTCCTTCCCTTCCTCGCCGGGGCCGGGACACATACATACATGTGGTTCAACTCGCACCCCCTCGGAGGAGATCCCAACCTGACAATTTTCAAACTTGGGCGAGGACGGTGCTGCAGAGAGGCATGGTCCACCCGCGTGACGCCGAGGCTTGGCGCACAGCGTTTGTAGATGTAGAGGGTGGTGGCCTTGGACAGCTGGTTGTGTCAGCTGCCGACGATACCTGGCGAGTAATCCTCTGCTGGGCGTCAGCTGGCAGGAGTATCGACGTCGACTCCGGCATTCCGATCTCTCTTGTGAGCCTCCAGGTCCGATCTGGTATCGACTCACAGAGCCCCTTTTTCAGACAGCTTAACATAGCGACCTTCTGGCACAGAGTTGTGAGATATGCCCCCATCACCGCGTTCTGAAAACAAATTGGCAAAAACAGCTTCCCGGAGCCTGTCTCGCTGTCCTCATCGCCGACGCTTGGCGTGACAGTCAAGTCGACCTGCTAAAAGCACGGGAGAGGAGAAGGTTTGGATTCCGCGATGTAGATCCCACGGGTGCGTTAATGATCTCATCCCGTGGTGGTCGACCAAGAAAGGGCGCGCCTGTACAAAACAAGAACGCTTTTGACGGTGGGAACTACTTCCGCAACCTCTATTCGATTCTACTGGAGCGAGACATCGGGGAAGTAGAGTTCGACAAATGGGTTTCGGGGGATACAGAACCACCCGCCTTGACATTACTCCATCTCGAAAAGTGACTATATGAGTGTGGTCGCATCGAGGCACTGGTGCCAACATTCTTGGACCATCCGACGGGAAAACGAGCCTCCGACCACCCACAGTACACGTTGGGGATCGTGAGGGACACGTGGACCGGCTTGTGCTCGAGGGGCCTTGGAGAGACAGGTTTGGATCGTCTCTAGACGTGGCAATCGAACACAGCGTACGAACTTACCGTATGTTCCGTCGGATTTCTGAGATGACCGAGGAAGAAGAGGAACCAGCTACGACTGGTTTGGAACCAAGACCTTCTCGTGTGTCGCTGACATTGTGAGTGATATCATGGCCATCAACCAAAGGGGGGGGGACACAACCGACAGCGAGTAGAAAAGCGGAAGCATGGGGAGAAAATATCAGAATTCAAGACGTGGTACGCGCCTCCAGGAA